GGGCAAAAATCAGACCAACCAAACACAGCCCAATTTTCAACAACTATTTTCTTCTGAAGTCATACAATAATGTTTTGTCTGGTAATCATCAACATCAGCAAACTTGGCAAGCAAACAGTACACATGGAGAACAGGCAAATACAACTTTGCCACTTACTGTCTGGCAGGGGTTGAACTTGATGCTATCACATCTAACAATAACTAAGCATGTGTCACATGCATATTGTCTGCATGAGACGCCCACTTTGTTGCTTGGTCACTACTTTTAGCATGTGGCACAGATCAAACAAACCTGCTATGCTAGGAGCACATGCCCTAACTTACTTCTGCAGAAGGCTTCATGCTTACAGTTAACAAAGGAATAAAGGTGTTGGCTTTGCAAGATTACTGACAAAATCAACTCTTCAAGGCACTTTGCTTAGAGATGTCGCACTATTTAAGGGGAAGTTCTGTGTTCCATCACTGCACAATAATAAATGTTTGAATTGAAGACAATAAATGAGAGATGATGCTACCTTGAAGGCATATTTTTCCACTGCATTGACCACATCCTTGAAGAGTATCTTGGAGGTAAACGTATGTCCATGATAGACGATGGGCTCTCCGTTGGCACCGTCCCAACAGTCCACTTCAACGCACCGACAACCTCGATTAAGAGCCCTTAAAAAATGAAGAAATATCCATCTTTCATCCTCTAATGTTGGGTCATCAGCAGAGATAAAACATTACGGCAAAGCTCATCTCTCCAGTTAATCCCAGTATGAGAATAATCAAACTGAATTAATCAATTCAGGGCTTCTAGAAATCTGTGCTGCCATTGAAAAATGTGGACAATTAAGGTTAGCTATGAGTGAGGTCCCTGCTAATCTCTTCTTCACCGGCCAACTAATAGAAACAAAAAGCATGCTTCCACCGTGGGAAACCACCGTGGGAAACTTTTCCCTGAAGTAGGCGTGCATAGAACCCCCAGATAAAGGCCTTTCTACACAGCAGAGAGTGGCACAGTTCCACCAAGATGGGGAATTTGCCAGAGAGTCAGAGAGTGAAAACGGTCCACAAAGTGAACATATGTGTTCAGATTTATCTTGAAGACAGGCCAGTTTTCCAGTCATTCAGTTTATTTATAAAACTCACTGAATGAGATGATAATGTTCCTGAAGACGAGGGGTTTAAACAATGACCGAACAAAAGTTACACCTACCTGATTCCACTGCCATGCTAACTTCATGGTTAGCAGGTATCAAACAGCAGCACTACATTCTGCAGAGCTACCTGATGTATCCCTCCACGCTGCTTTGTCCCCTCAGCTGGTCCTCCATCAGATACGTGTTGTGGGAAGAAGAGATGAAGTAATGGCACAGCGGCTGGCTCATGTCTTGGAAGATGTCCCTGCACCGTGGGCTGAAAATAGAGCCCTCAGCCGAACCGAGGTACATCAAGAAACCGTCAAACGTCATAGCCTTCAGCAGCTTTGCTGGAATACAAAAGGGACTTAATTAGGTGTAAATCAATTAGGCAAAGGTGGCAAACAGAAGTTCTCTTGAGTATGTACCTGTGTCTGAGGGCTCATAGCGGTCAATTAGCTCCTGAACGCGGTGTTGGATATCACCCCCTTCCAACTGCTCCACTCTCAGAAAGTCCTCTAGGTCGCTCTGGGATAACTTCTGACCATCAGATGAGTACTCCTGGAAAATTTTCAAAATATCTTCTCTCTGTGTCAACATCTTGTAGAACAAGACAAACTCATCCCCTTCGAGGGCGCCAGTCTGAGATTTATCCGCCATCTGATGCAAAAACAAAAGAAAGAAAGATCAAGGCATGGCTGTGAAAACCACAGGTCCTTTGCGGGAAAAAAAGGATCTCACAGTGAACAGACGGTGGGCATGGTGTTCATTCATGTCCACATTCATCATCCTCAAGAGATCTCTCACTTCCTTGAAGTTCATCCTGCCATCGTTGTTCTTGTCGGCCTTCTTGAACCAGTCCCGTATCCATCTGGGAACAGTGCTTAAAGAAGCAACAGTCTCCTGGGTTTCTGTCCAGTGGCGCCACCAGGGGGTGGCCAGGGTATTGCACAAAATGGCATTGCACTGGTCACCTCATTGGCTACCCCATTGGCCACCCCACTGGCCACTGTAAATTATAGTAGCATCAGTTCAGCATTTTATCCCATTATGTACAGCCAGTGACATAACATTAAAATCACACATTAAGCCAAGAGTGAGTATGAGTAGCTGTATCCTGCATGCTGCATGCTGGGAATGGTACCTGATAAGGAGGTTTGGATGCAGCTGCTAAACAAACAACACATCTTCAGGATGTGCTTGTTCCTGACCTACTCTTCTATGGCTTTTCTATGATACCACTACTTTTCCCATTTAACCATTGATTTGTTGGACATAATTATTCAATTAATTGATCCATTCTTCATCAAATATTTGTAACCCTGTCAATTTATAAAGTAGTGAAGGTTGGAACAAATTCAGCAAACTCTAATGCGTGAGAAAGCCAACTCTTGCCAAAGGATACTGGTCCAGTTTTTCCCTTTCTCCCATGTTTTCCAGGTTTTCAATTAGCTTCCTAATGCCTTTGATCCAGGACTCGGCCTCCTCAGCTGACTCGGCCACTAGGTCCAGGTTTCCCCGGCGTCCGCGGAATACCACCGTGAAGCATCGGTTAGCAGGGAATTCGTCTGCGATGCTGAGCAGGACTTCACTTTGATGGCCCTCCCGCACTACCTCCACATCGCTGACAGAAACTGGACACAACAGCCGGGTGTAAGCAGCACTGTCATCTGTGCCCAGAGGTAGCATAAGGTAAGGTTAGGTAAGGTAGGGTAAGGTAAATTAAGGGAAGGTAAGTCAGGTTTAGATTAGTGAGAGTAGGGTAACGTAAGGTAGGGTAAAGTTATGGTTAGGGAAGATAAGCTAAGGTTAGGTAAGGTAAGGTAGGGAAAGGTAAGTTAGGGTCAGATAAGGTAAGGTGATAGCAAGGTGGGGTAAGGAAATGTAAGGTAGGGGTAATGTTGCGTAATGTGGGATAGGGTAAGGTAATTTCATGGTGGTAAGGTACAGTTAGGTAAGATAAGGTTATGTTTTAGTAAAGGAAGGTTGGGTAGGGTGAGGTAAGTTAGGGTAAGGTAAGGTAGGGAAACGTAAGGTAGGGTCAGATAAGGTAAGGTAATAGCAAGGTGGGGTAAGGAAAGGTAAGGTAGGGGTAATGCTGCAGAATGTGGGATAGGGTAAGGTAATTTCAT